GGGATCGGGCAGTGTTTCGTTCTGCTGTGCAGGGGGTCGCTATGAGTCGGAAACGACTCGACGGCACTTAACAACAACAACAACAAAATTTATATACAGTAAATTCAAGTGAAGAGTTCACTGAGTTGTGACAAACACATTGCTGTTAGTTGCCATTGAGTCAATTATGACTCATGACTTCAACTACATGTGCAGAGTAGAAACGCTCCATAGTGTTTTCAAGGTTCTACCCTTTCAGAAGCAGTTCCCCAGGACTGTCTTTTGAGGCATTTCTGGGTGAATTTGAACCAATAATAACTTAGCTAGTAGTCAAGAACTTAACCCAGAGACTATTGACAAATGTATATACACACTTACATTAGCAGAAGCCCTGGTGGTGCACTGGTAAGAGTGTGGTTGCTCGTCCAAAGATCACTAGTGTGAACCCATGAGGTTCTCCACAGGAGAAAAGTCCCAGCTATCTGTTCCAGTAAACCTTATAGCCTTAGAAACTTTGTGGGGCAATTCTACTCTGCCATATATTGTCACTATGAGTTGGAATCCTCTCGATCGCAAACACTACCACCACCATCACAACCTATATATGTACCACAATCAAGATACAAAACAATTCCATCATCCTTAAAGTTCCCCATGGCATTTTGCAGTCTATACACACACCCAAGGTCATATTTTGGCTCTTGTGGACTTGTTTTAGTTGCCTTCAGCTTCTTCTTGAACTTGTATATGAGCAGTTGAAGGTTTCTTCCACAATGAGCTCCTGGCCTTGTTTTGACTAAAGATACTGAGATTTTCCATCGCCTTTTGCCACAGATGTAGTCAATCTGATTCCTATATATTCCTTCTAGTGAGGTCCACATGTAGAACCATTGTTTATGTTGTTGAAAAAAAGTATTTGCAATGAATAAGTTAAAGATCTTGCAAAATTCTATCATGCAATCTCCAGCATCATTTCTATCACCAAGGCCGTATTTCCCAGCTACCAGTGGTTCTTCTTTGTTTCCAACTTCTGCATTCCAATCAGCAGTAATAATCAATACATCTTGATTGCATGAAGTTGGTAAAATCTTCAATTTCCTTTTCTTTGGCTTTGGTACTTGGTGAGTGAATTTGAATAATAGTAATATTAATTGGTCCTCCTTGTAGGCATATGGATATTATCCTATCACTGACAGCATCATACTTCAGGACAGATCCTGAAACATTCTTTGTGATAGTGAATGTTGTACCATTACTCTTCAATTTGTCATTCCTGGCATAATAGATCATATGATTGTTGGATTCAAAATGGCCAAGACCTGTCCATATCAGCTCAATAATCACTAGGATATGGAACTTTATGCATTCCATTTCATTTTTTACAACTTCCAATTTCCCTAGATTCATATTTCATGCATTCTGTGTTCTGATTATTAAAGGATGTTTGCAGCTGTTTCTTCTCATTTTGAGTTTAATTTAGAGACCATCCAAAGAATAGTTTTGATGCACTGAACACCAGTGACTGAAAATCAGAGTAATTGTTGGATGACATCAAGAACATTATTCATGAAGAAAACAAAAGATCATTAAAAAGACAGGAAGGGAAGAAATGACCAAAATGGATGTCAGAAGAGACTCTGAAATTTTCTCTTGAATAGAGTAGCTAAAGCAAATGGAAGAAATGACAAGATAAAAAAGCTGAACAGAAGATTTCAAAGAGCAGCTCAAGAAGACAAAGTCAATTATTATGATGATATGTTCAAAGACTTGGAGTTAGAAAACCAAAAGGGAAAAATATGCTTGGCTTTTCTTAAGTGGAAGAAAAAACTTCAAGAAAGTATCTGTGGGCAAAATATTGAATAATGCAGGAAACATCAAAAAAAGATGGTAGGAATACAAGAGTCACGGGAACAAAAAGAATAGGTCGATGTTAATCCATTTCAGGAGGTGGTATATGTTCAAGAACCAATGATATTGAAGTAAGAAGTTGAAGCTCCACTGAAGGAATTGGTGAAGAACAAGGCTTCATGAATTGACAGAATACCCATAGACATGTTTTAACAAATGGATGCCGCACTGGAGTCACTCATTCAGTTACGCCAATGGATTTGGAAGACAGCTACCTGGCCAACTGACTGCAAGAGATCCATATCTGTACCCATTCCAAAGAAACAAGATCCAACAGAATGTGGAAATTATCGAACAATGTCATTCATGTTGCACACAAGAAAATCTTACTGAAGATAGTTCAAAAATGGTTGGAGCAGTATATTGGCAGAGAACTTCCAGAAATGCAAGCTGGATTCAGAAGAGGTCATGCAACAAGGGGTATCATTGCTTATGTCAGATGAATCTTGGCTGAAAGCAAGGAATACCAGAAAGATATTTACTAGTGTTTTATTGGCTATGCAAAAGCATTTGATCGTGTGGATCATAACAAATTATAGATAATGTTGAGAAGAATGGGAATTCCAGAACACTTAATTGTACTCATGTGGAACCTGTACATAGACCAAGAGGCCATCATTCGAATAGAACAATGGGATACTGCATGCTTTAAAATCAGGAAGGGAGTAAATCAGGGTTGGATCCTTTCACCATACTTATTCAGTCTGTATGGTGAGCAAATAATCTGAGAAGGTAGAATATATGAAGATGAGTGTGGCATCAGAAATGGAGGAAGAATCATTAACAACCTGTGATATGCAGACAACACAATTTCACTTGCTAAAAGTGAAGATGACTTGAAGCACTTACTGATGAAGATTAAAGACTGCATATTGATTACATGTCAACATAAAGAAAATGAAAATCCTCACATCTGGACCAATAAGCAGTATCACAATAAATGGAGAAAAGATTGAATTTGTCAAAGACTTCATATTATTTGGTTATGCACTCAACACCCATGGAAGCAGCAGTCAAGAAATCATATGACATAGTGAACTGGGCAAATGTGTTGTAAAAGATGTCTTTAAAGTGCAAGAGCATAGTTGTCTCTTTGAAGACTAAGGTGAGCCTAACCCGAGCCATAGAGCTCTGGTGGTGTAGTGCTTAAGACATTTGACTGCTAACCAGAAGGCTGGCTGTTCAAACACACCAGCTGCTCCTCGGAAGGAAGATTGAACAATCTACTTCTCTAGTTATACTGCCTCAGAAACCCAAGGAAGGGTTGCTATGAGTTGGGTCTGACTTGATTGCAGTGAGTTGAGTTGAGCTGAGTTGAACCCAAGCCATGGTATTTTCAATTGCCTCATATGCACATGAAAGCCGGACAATGAAAAAAGCAGACCAAAGAAGAATTGATGTTTTTGAGTTGTGGTGTTAGCAAAGAATACTGAAAGTACCATGGACTGCCAGAAGAACTAACAAATCCATTCTGAAGGAAGTGCTGCTGGAATGCTCCTTGGAAGCGAGACTGACCAGATTTCCTCTCACCTGCTTTGGCCGTGTTGTCAGAAGAGACCATTCCTTCTGAGAAGGATATCGTGCTTGATAAAGGTGAGGGTCAATGAAACAGGGGAAGACCCTCAAAGAGATGGTTTGACACAGTGGCTGCAATGATGAGTTCAGGTATAGCAAGGATTGTGAGGCTGACATAGGACTGGGCAGTTTTTCGTTCTGTTGTACATAAGTTCGCTATGAATTGGAGCTGATTTGGTGGCACCTAAGAACTAACAAAAACATACACGCCCAATCCTGCCTCGAGGAAACTGATGAATAACCTTTTATCAATATATTTAAATTTGTTATAATTCCATGTAAATAAAATACATAGTTATATTAGTTAGGGTTCTGCAGAGAAAAAGAACCAGTAAGATTTCTCTCACTCTCTCTCTTTCCTTTAGTTATTGTATTGACTATGTTTCACTATGTAGATATAAATTTGTGAGACACAGAGAGAGACAGAGATCTAAGAAATTAGTTCACACAATTGTGGGGACCTGAAAGTCCAAATTCTGTAGGCCAGGCAAAGTGGAACTTGGCAGGACATCTATGTTACTGTTTTTAGGCAGAATCTTTCTTTCCTTGGAAAGCTCAATTTTTGCTCTTAAGGAATTCAACAGATTGGATGAAGTCAGCCCTCATTATCAAGGGTAGTTTCTTCGATTTAGACTTACTTAGAATCGAATGTAGATGCTAATTACATCAATAAAATACAATCACAGCAAACTTGACAATATTCAAACCCACCAGCCACTCCTCAGAAAGAAGATGGGGCAATCTACTTCCACAGTGATACTGCCTCTGAAACCCAAGGAGGGGTCACTATGAGTCGAGTCCGACTCGACAGCACATAACAACAACAACAAACAACTTGATTCTATCTTGTAGCCAAGCTGGTACATTAAAGTAATCATCATAGGAATTATCCACCGTTTTCCATTTTGTAGGATGTTTTCATCAGGAGTGATAAATACCTGAATTTTGTTAATGGCTCTTTCCACATCTATGTAGATATTCATGGTTTTCCTTCGACCTATTGACAATCAGTACTTACATTATATTTCTGAAATAAATCACAATTTTCATGCTTCATTGTCTTTTTATGCTGATCTTGAGCTCTGCTTGTTATCATTGTTGGTTTTGTTCTTTTTAGTTGCCATTGTATCAGCCCCTGATTCATGGCCCCATGCACAGTGGAACAAAGGCTACTTGGTCTTGTGTCATTCCCCATGGTTGGTTGCTGTGTGGACAATTGTGATCTATCCATTCATCTATCCCATTTCAACTGAGTGGACTCCAACTCATAGCAACCCAATAGGGGCAAATGCCCCATAGTGTTTCCAAGGCTATAATCTTAATGGAAGCAGGATACTGTATCTATCTCTCATGGAGCAGCTGATGGGTTCGAACCACTGATCTTTCAGTTAGCAGCCCCACATTTGAATCATTGTGCCACCTGGGGTCTTTTCTGATTCATAAGATTTCAATAATATGATTTTCTGAATAGATTGCCAGGCTTTTCTTCTCAGTTCCTTTTAGTCTGAAAACTCCAAAATATATGCAACTTCACAACACACAAGACTCTACTGACAAACTAGTACAGTCAGCAGATGAGATACATTGGTGGGGAATCAAACATGGGACTCCTGCAGGGAAGGTGAATTTTCAACTATTGAATTACCATTGCCCTCATGGTTCCTGTTTACCAATATTTTATTAAGTATTTTTGCTCTGATATTCTTAAGTGTTATCTTTAATATGATTTTTTTGTACTGCTATCAGGTTTAGGTGTCAATATTATATTTCCTTAATAATTTTTTTTTTTCCTTATATTTTCTCTGGAGATTTTAAAATATTTAACATTGGACTATTTTGTCTTTGAAGATTTGGTAGAATTGCTCTTTGAAACCACCTGGACTTTCCACTTTCTGTAGGGTAGATTGTTACTAAAAGTAATCCTTAATGGAATTTGATCTCTTTAAAATGATTTGGTAGGTAATGACTAAGTGCTCTACTGCTAACAGAAATGTTTGTAGTTTAAGCCCTCCAGCCCCCCAATGGAGAAATACGTGTCAGTCTGCTCCCTTAAAGATTTGATCATAGGATGTTTATTAGCCCATTCTAATCTGTAGGGTTGATGTGGATTGAAATGAATTTGGCAGCACACAATAATAACAACAATACTGTTATGTCTGATTGGCTCAATTTTGGTAAATCACATTTTCTTGGGAAATTACACCTGTTAACCAAATCTTAAGAGGTATTTGCATAAATATTACCAAAATGTTTTGCATAGTTTTCTGTAAGTTATTTGGTTTCAATGGTTAGTTTTTATTTCCCATATTTTTTGTTGCAAATTTATGTATTATATTTATCCTGAATAAATTAGGCCTTGCTTTGTCTATTTTGTTATTTCTTCTAGAAAAAACAGGATTTTATTCATTCTTTCTACAGTTTATCTACTCTCCACTTTATTGATTTCTTATCTGCATTATTTCCTACCATTCTCCAATTTCTGTTTATTGGTTTTTATCTACTTCTTTTGACTTGGAAAATTCATTTATTTTCATTCATCCATTCATTATTAATATTTATTTACATATGGTAAAATGGGCAGATATCAAGTGTGCAGATGTATCAGTTTGTGAAATGAATGCACTGTAAAACCCCCACTTCTACTAAGATGTAAGACATTTCCATCATTAGAAATGTTCCCTTTGGACCATTTCCAGTCAATACCCATACCTCTTACACACTAAGATTCTGATTTCTGTTAAGGTATGTGAGTCTTGCATGCAAATTTTAGATGGATTTTTTTTAAAAAAACAGAGTTTGCTCTTTGAGGTCCAATAGTCTTAATTCATCATATCCTCTTCTTTGAGTATCCAAAAATATACTTGACTGTTAACCAGAAGGTTGGCTGTCCAAACCCACCAGCCACTCCTCGGAAGGAAGATTGGGCAATCTACTTCCGTAGTGATACTGCCTCGGAAACCCAAGGAGGGGTCACTATGAGTTGGGGCCAACTTGATGGCACATAACAACAAGGATATAGTGCCTAAGGCATATGACTACTAACCAGAAGTTTAAAGATTCAAACCTACCAAGCACTCTGCAGAAGGAAGACTGGGCAACCTACTTCCATAAAGATTTACTGCCTTGGAAATCCAAAGGGGTCACTGTGAATCAGAATCAACTGAATGGTAGTGTGTTTGGTGTTAGTTTAAGGGTATCTGTTTTTGCCCCCATTTTTCAGGAGAAGTAATGAGGCAGATGTTGTGTGCTCCTGTGTATTTTTCTCTTTTTCTTTGTTTTTATATTTGGCTTTCTTTTATATTGCAGGATCTTACACTCCCCCTCTCACTTTTCTTTCTTGTTCTCCATCTAGTCTCCAAACTATTTCTTTCCTTGTATTTTAATTTCAAACCATCTTCTCTCCTAGAAGTGTTGTGTCTATAAGATTACTTACTGGTATCCTGCACACACTTTTCATGTCCCTTTCCTTTATTCAGATGAGCTCTGATGGTACAGTGCTTAAAGCATTAGGCTACTAACCAAAGTTTGCATTTCTAACAAGCTGGTCACTCCAAAGAAGAAAGATGAGGCTGTCTGTTTCAGTAAAGGTGTATCAGCCTTGGAAACCCTTTGGGGCAATTCTGCTCTGTCCTGTAGTGTCACTGTAAGTCCATTAAGAGTTGAAATTGACTCAATGACATTTTTTTTTTTTTTTCCCTTAAAAAAGCTTGGAGAAGAATGAGGGAAATGAAACAGACAAAATAGTGTGCAGAAGAGTTTTATGTAGGTCCGTCATCTAAGAACATGTTCATAGTTCAGTACTTAGATTACTTGAAGCAATCTATCATTTATGAAGTTGAACATTTGAATGACAGAATCATCAGTTGCATATGAGTTTTAATAGAAAGGTGAGGCTTCATCTAAGAAAATGATTTGGTCTACCTTATGCTAGAATTCCACTATTAATAATTTCTTCATCCATTTTTGTGAAGGTTCATGAATTAGATAATTACATCTTTAAAGAGAAATGTGTATGACAACAACAAAAAAAACAATACTCATCAAGAGAATCTCATATTAGCTAAGCATACACTTATTTTTGAATTAAGTTAATGACCAAGGTTTATGATTATTATTTTCCCTTAGAGCCAAGTCTGATCCCCCTTACTCTGAGTGTCATCTAGCTAGTTATGTGGAAAGCTGAAATAGAAGGCTGAAGGGGTACTTCACTGAAAATTGTAGAACTCCCACAGGCTAGCAGACATGATTAAGGTAGAAATTAATCATAGTGACCAACCTGCTATTTTTCCTTCACTTTCACTTTTTCTTAAGTAAATAGAATTGCCACCTTTTTTTCATGGACTTTGAGTTCTTTAGATGTGCTATTTTCAATTATGTATTCTTCTTAGCATAACGCTTTCTCAAAACTGGTTTCAGCTGTGAACTGTAGCCTATGATTCTGTCTCCTTCGGTGTTAATGCTCAATAATTGATGCTCAATAAAACTTTTGTTTTCCCTCTTCAATCTGTTGTGATCATTAGCTCTTCACGAACAGAGGTAAGGAAGTTGTTTTCCTACAACAGTTACAAAAAACAGAAAGTACCATACAGATTCACCTGAGAAGAATTTTTCAAAATAAACCAACCTGAGCCTCATCAAGAACTGACTGAATTACAATATCATGGATAATTTTTACAGGATTATGTGTGTGTGTGTACAATTGGACTCCATTAAAAAGATAACATATGAAAACCATAGTAAAGAGATCAATAATGGGATGTTAATTTTAAGAAATTGAAAGACAAGGAGGAAAAGGAAAAAAAAAAAAAAAGGAAGAAGCAGCAGCAGCAACAGCAGCTGACAATTACCATGACCTTTAGTGGTTCTATTAGCCTCATGTGCTCCATACCTCATACCCATGACTTTGCTGAGAACATTTTTCACATCCTTATTCCTCAAGCTATAGATCAAAGGTTTCAGCATAGGGATCACTGTGGTATAGAATACAGAAGCCACCTTCTCCTGGGCCATGTTGCTGCTGGATGCTGGCTTTAAATATATGAATATTATGGATCCATAAAAGACCCCAACAGCTGTAAGATGAGAGCTACAGGTAACAAAGGTTTTGGATTAGCCCTCAGTTGAAGGTATTCGAAGGATATTGGGGAATATAAAGGCATAAGAGATGATGATGGGCACAGTTGTTGCTAATACATTTAATCCACCTACAAGTATCAGCAGAAGTTCATTGATGTAAGTACTGGAGCAGGAGAGCTTTAGGAGAGGAATTATGTCACAGAAGTAACAGTGGATGACATTGTTCCCACAGAAGGATAGCCTACTCATGAAGACAGTGTGAGCCATAGCTCCCAAAGTTGCAGTGATATAGACCCCAGTCACCAGCACACTGCAGACCTTTTGGGACATGGTGACATTGTAGAGCAATGGACTACATATGGCAACATATCTATCATATGCCATCGCAGTGAGCATGTAACACTCAGATATAGCAAAAACACAAAAGAAAAAAAGCTGAGTTATATATCCAGGGTAAGAAATTACATTTTTCTCCCATACAAAGTTTCCCAGGAGTTTTGGGGTAACAACTGAGGAATAAAAGAAATCTAAGGATGACAAATTACCAAGAAAAAAACACATGGGAGATTGGAGCTTGGAATTGAAGATGATGAGGAGGATCATTCCCACATTTCCCACTACAGTGACCCCATAGTTTCCTTGGAACAGGAGAAAAAGAGGCAGCTGCAGTTCTGGTTTGTCTGTCAGTCTCTCAAGGACAAACTTAGTTACTATGGAATAATTTTGCTTGGCCATTTCCTTCATGAAACAGGAAATGTGAAACTAGGAAGAAAAAGACTTTGCACAAAGTAAGAAAATTATTTCACGATTTATAATATTTGAGTTAGTCTTGTGGCATAAAAACTGATCATCAAGTTAAGACTTTGTTGTTGTGTGATATCTAGCTGCTTCCAACCCAGTGACCTTAGAAGACAGAAAATCCCACATATTTTCCAGTGCCATAATCTTGTTGGTGCTGTGACTAAAGCATGGGGCTGCTAATCAAAAAGTTGACAATTCAAACCCACCAAGGGCGACATGGGAGAAAAATGAGGCAATCTAATTCTGTAAAAATGTACAGCCTAGTAAGCCCTGTGGGACAGTTCTACTCTGTCTTATAAGATTGCTATCAGTCAGAATTGACTGTATGGCTGTTGTTGTTCTGTGCCGCCCAGTAGGACCCGACTCATGGCGACCCCTCCTTGGGTCTCCGAGGCGGTATCACTACAGAAACAGATTGCCCAACCTTCATTCCAAGGAGTGAAGAGTGGCTGAGGGGTTTGAACCACCAGCCTTATGGTTAGTAGTAAAGTGCCTTAGGCACTACGCTACCAGAGCTCCCCACTGTATGGCAGTGTGTTGGAATCTTTACTAGAGCGGATCACCAGGTCTTTCTCCTGCTGGTTGCTAGATGGATTCAAATCACCAAGGTTTCACTTAATACTTGAACACTTAACCATTGTTCTACAAAGGCTTTTTAAAAGAATTTAAGTTTGATCAGTACTAAGATGGTAAAATGTATATTAATAAGCTTAATAAATTGTAGGGAAGCAATGATAATTACCTTTAAAATTATAGGAGAAATTCTCAATAGGACAAAGATGCCAGTAAACTGAATTTTATTAGGATACAGATTTGTTATTATATCTAAGTATTTCCATTTAACCATAAATGTATACTCTGAATTAATGTACTTACTTGAATGCTGTCAGGAGTAGAAGAGATGTTACTTATATTACATTTAAATTTTCCCTTTTGTAGTATGAGGTAAATTCACACAGTGTCATAGGAAACTTTACTTGTCCAGAATCTTGATGATTTTAGTTAGTGAGATGTTATCAGCACCTAATTTCAAAAAAAGAAATCACAGCTACTGAAAATGAAGTTAAATACAGTCTCTCTTATGATTTCTATATCTGTCTTCCTGCTACAGCCATGCCATTAACTCACTGTGTGATATTTAGAAAGCCATTTCACCTTTCCTCTTCTATAAAATGGGAGCTCTGGTAGCATAGTGCCTAAGGCACTTGACTGCTAACTAAAAGGCTGGCGGTTCAAACCCACCAACAACTTTTATAAAATGATGGTGTTGAATTGAAGGTCACTAATTATTGCTATGGGAGCTCTAGTAGTGTAGTGGCTAAGGCACTTGACTGCTAACCAGAAGGTTGGCGGTTCAAACCCACCAGCCACTCCCCGGAAGGAAGATGGGGCAATCTACTTCGGTAGTGATACTGCCCTGAAAACCCAAGGAGGGGTCGCTATGGGTCAGGTCTGACTTAACGGCACATAACAACAACAACAACAACAAACAAAATTATTGCTATAGTTCTAAGATTTAACAACTTTCTGAATTTATTTTGCGTAAACAATACTCAAAAGCCCTTTATAAGCAAGGGAATACTTTGATTTGTCATGTTTAGGTCTTCTAACTTCAGAGAAATGCTGGAGTACAGTATTCACCTGGGAACAAAAGTCCTGGGGAGATTCTCATAGGTGAAATTCCACTAAGAAGAAATAAAGCAATTTGCGAGTTGTATTTGCACCTAGAAGAAACGTAGTTCCAGAGTACTACATTTTCAATGTTCAAATTAATGCGCTGATCTTAATTCCCGGAAGGAGAAACTTTACACAGCAGTGGGGAATAATTCCCATCTTGGATGATTGTAAAATCATCATAAACAGATGGGGAGCATTTTGGTGAGGTTGTTCTAATTTCTTTCAAAAGGCACAAGTCCCAGCCCTCATTCCTCTATGTGCTCCAAAAGGAAAGCATAATGGTTCTTGTTGTAGATTTGTCTTGCTACTGTAATTAAAATCACTTAATAATTACTCTCCTGGAATGTTGAGTAAACACTTTTTTGTTTGTTTGTTTGTTTGTTT